GTGTGTTGTCCGTGTGCCTGCTGACCCAGACGCCCTTCAACCTCGTGAAGCTGGTCCACAGCACGAGCTGGGAGTACGACGCCATGACCAGCGCTCATTATGCCGTCGTGGTGACGGAGGCCATCGCGTACCTGCGGGTCTGCCTCAACCCCGTGCTCTACGCCTTCGTCGGCCTCAAATTCCGGAAGAACTTCCGGAAACTCATGAAGGACGCTGGCTGCCTCCCTTACCTGGGGGTCTCACATCAGGGGAGGTGTTCTGACGACACTTCCAAGACTTGTTCTGCTTCCCACAATGGGGAGGCCACCACCATGGTCCAGCTGTAGGCCTTGCTGGGGCTGGAGGACGCTGCTCCGGGACTGGCAGGTGCACGGCTGTGCCCTCCGGCTGCGGCGAGGAGAGCTTTGCTTTTAGCGTGTGCTTTCTCCAGGAGAAGTGGGCAAACGCAGGCTGCCTCTCAGACCCGACACGCGCTGTTCTCTTCTCAGACAGCGGGCCCCAAGCTCGAAGGGGTGGGGGGAATCTAACATAAGGGCTCCCCTCTCCCCATCCCCAAGAACACCGACGCCGAGGAGATGTCATAATCAAGACCCTGCTTCACGCGCGGAGCTTCCAGAAGCACAAGTCTCTGAAGATCATCTTCTGACCTGACTCCTGAGAGCTCAGGTCCCCCTTCACTGGGACTGGAGCTGAAGGTGGAAGTGGGGAGCACAGCCAACTGAGCTGTGGGTGCAGGCAGCCCCCCGGGCTCTCGAGTTTGGAAGACCCTTCTGATTATCTGACCGCAGAGGAGGCAAGAGCAGCCTCGTGCACCTAACAGCACTGAGGGCGGGCTCGCGGGGGTGACTTCTGCAGAGGCAAAGCTTACGTCGTCTTTGGCGAATTCTAGAAGGACTAGCACTGGGGAACAGAAACCGGTCACAACAAACCGAAGTGGGCTAAGAATTCCGATAGTCCACGAAATGCAAGAGAAATGTGCACAACTTAGTGTAAGCCTGGGCCAGGTGTGAGCAGCCTTCGTGCAGTGGACGTGACGCTGGCGGGGGTGCCACTTACAGGTGGAACTACCCGGCACCTGCCACCGGACACCAACGGCACAGGCCTCCCCCGATGAGGACGTTCAAAAGACTCCAAACTACTTTGACCCTTAGGTACATTTTACTCCAATAAGATGTGCCTGGAATGTACCCAAAATGATAACTCGTGGGCTCAGAGCACCAGACGTGAGTTAGAAACACTGAGGGACGGCGCTCTACCGAGGAAATGGAGCCTACCAGCGATGACAGCTGCTCGCCGCTGTGGTTTCCGACCTCCTGCCTCAGACGGGGTGGGTGGGGGTGCATTTGTTTAAGTCCTCATTTGGGCACAGGATGAGGCAGTTTTTTTGTTTTTGTTATTTTTTTTTAAAGAGGTATTTTCACTATACGGCATGTGCGCTTGCCAGAAAGAAAGAGAGGGACAGAGAGACAGACAAAGTGAGGAATCATCCCCTGGGGGGATGGCTACGCCACAATCCTCCTCCATTCTCTTCCTGGGATCTTGGGCACACATGCACGTGCACCTGGTGTGAGTTTTAAGCCACCGAGTCTAGAACTTGAACCATGGCGGGTCATGCGGGAGTCTAGTGACATAACCATTACGTCATCTGCTGGTCCTAATGCATAGTTTTAAAGGTCAAACTTTTTTTTTTGAGAGAGATTTTTGCTATAGGGCATGTGCACTCGCCAGAAAGAGAGAGACAGAGAGACAGAAAGTGAGAAATCACCCCCCCGGGGGATGGCCATGCCACAATCCCTTCTTCATTCCCCCCCGCCCCGGGATCTCAGGCATGCACACACACTCACAAATGCCCGGTGTGAGTTTAAGCCACTGGGTCCAGGACTTGAACCACGGTTGGCTGCATGGGAGTCCAGCAATGTTTCTTGAGAACGCAGAATGAAGGGTTCTGCAGTGTCCCTGTGGGGGTAGGCCGAGGAGTGCATCTTGGTGCCACCTGGAGGAGCGCGGGGAGGGCCCACGCATGTGTACCTGCTGTTTCGCAAACACCCTCAACACACCCATGAGAGTTGCTTTCTTGTTTTCAGGCCACATGGGCCCGGCAACCCCCCATGGCTTCCTTAAATAGAATCTGCCCTCTTTGAATGACGACCAATGTGGATTCTCTCTAAATTAACTTCGGAGTGGTAGTTTCTGTCCCCCACGGCCCATCTTTAACAGGGAGCACTTCTGCTGGGAGCCCCAGGCCCCTACAGGAGGAGGCGCTGAGAGGGGAGGAAGGAGCAGAGGGTGGGGCAGGCCTGTGGCTTCTCCCGGTGCCCAGCAGCTGCCTGTATGCCCCTCTCTGAGCAGGACCTGCTGGCCTTTCTGCCTCCCACCCCGGAGCACACCTGGCTGTCCCCAAGGCCCAGCGATGCTGTCACTGTGCTTTCGGACCTTCCGGCCTGTGGAATTGCAAATAAACCTCCGTTCTTTGTCCACGCCCAGTCTCAGGTATTCTGTTATGGCCGCCCCCATGCACTGAGGCAGCCCTGACCGCACACTCTGGGAGAGCCCCCAGCTTCTGGGGCTCTAGCTCACCCTCCGGCCTCCCTCTGGAGTGCTTGTGAGGACAGACAGAGCACCCAATGGCCACGAGCAGGGCCCACCTGGCTACTGCAACAGACAGGCGGCTGCTGGGACCTGGCTTCCCCGACGGAGCTCCCGCCTGCCGAGAGCCAATGAGACCAGGTACCTGGTGGGGTGTGCGCCCTCCCAGGCACCCCGCAAAAACGGCAGGCACTCCCCTCCCCCAGGAGTCCCGCCCTTCAGGGTCTGAGGCAACTGATATCGTTTTGTTGGAGGCCTTGCGCTGCCGTCGCCTGTGCATGTCGGAAAACAGTAGAGCTCTGTACGCGCCGAAGCTCACGCCACACTGCCAGGGCTGCGACCCAGGACATGGCCTCCTCCTTGGCCGCTAGATACCGGCTCCAGAGGGTTCACGCAGCAGACGGGTTGTGCTATCTGAAGGCGGGGATCTTGGGGTAACGGCGGCGCGAGGTGGTTTTCTAACCTAACCATTGCATTTCCTGTTCTCGTGTTTCCGAGATGCCAGGCGTCCTGGCTGGTGACAACCCCACCACAGCTCCCTGCACACTTGGGCCACGAGGCCCCCGCTCTCCCGTTACTGGCAGAGACTCTGTGGGTCCAGGGGCTGCTGCTGCGGTCGGTTTAAGTTCACTTAGTGTCGTCCACGTATGTGGAGTGACTTCCTTGGAGAAAATGGCCGGGCCACGTGGCACAGGTGAGAAAGGCACGCAGCTCGGCCCAACATGGCAACTTGGGCTGAATGCCACGAACACATGCACCTTACAGACACCGTGGGCAGCTGCTGGGCTCAGTGTGCACACCTGCGTGGGCAGGTGCCGTTCCAGCCTCCTCTGCACAGGGAGGACCCCAAGTGCAGGGGCTGTACACCCAGGGTCACGGAGCCTGGGGGGGGCAGGCCAGGCTTCGAGGAGGCCATGACTGGGTGATCTTCCTGGCAGCTAAGGGGCAGGCCAGGCTTCGAGGAGGCCATGACTGGGAGCAGGCTGGGCAGAGGCCTGGGGATGAGAGGGAGATGGTCTGGGCCCCCAACCTTGTCCTCAGCCTCCCGGCCTTTTCAAATGCACCTTAGCAGCAGGAAGAGAAAGAAGGCAAGCAAAGCCACCGAGCGGTTGGCCAGCGGTTGGCCGTGCCTCAGCAGCCGTGCAGGGAGGCGGCCCTTGCTGGCTTGGAGGGTGGGCTCCTCCCTGAACACCGCGTGCTGGGCCTGCAGGCCACAGGCCAGTGCGCTGAGGTTTCCTTTCCGTGGGGCGGGTCCTGACTGCCGAGGACCAACAGCACACCTGTCTGCCAGCGGTCTGCGCCATCTTAGTTCCCACTGGGACCGGGGAACGTGTGGGGCACGGACAGAGGGAGAGAGGTGGCCACTTCCTGGGGCAGCGACAGGAGGTGGCGAGACGCCGTCAAGCCCGAGGTCGTCCCCGCGCCCCAGGTTCCCGGTCCTGCTCACCTCACCACCTACCTGCTTACCAGGTGACCGAAGCAGGTGTGGTCACGTGCTAATGAGACGAGCCATGCCAGTAGGGCCACTGGCCATGGGGGTTGGGAGGACTCTGCAGGCCTCCATGGTCATGGGACGGTGCGATGGGGCATTCCAGGAGCCAGTGGGTGGGGGCCGTCCTGGGTCTGGCAATGGAGCTGGCACTCTCCACGGGGCTGTGACACGAGGAGTTTGGGGAGGGCAGAGGGGAGTGGAGACATGCGCAGTCCTTGCACCGAGTATGCGCCGAGGGCCTTGTGAGGGCGAAATCTTTCCCTGACATGCAGCAGAAATCCTGGTGGTCAATCTGATGGACGGGTCAGACCCCCTTTCAATTCCGCGTAGGCAGAGAGGAGTGGAGAGCCCTGAGTGTGAGCGCCATGGAGTTCTCGACTGGAGAGGGGTCACGTCTGGAGCATCTGACCAGCCCCTGCTTTGCTGTAGAAACTGCATTTGACCCACGCCAGGGGCTGGGGAACACTGGGCATGGGCCTGGACCCCAGGCTCATGACTTTTTTTTGGAGAGGTTTTTGGTATAGGGCACATGCACTCGCCAGAAAGACAGAGACAGACAGAGAGACAGAAATCACCCCCAGAGGGGATGGCCACACTGCAATCCCTTCTCTATTCTTTTGGGATCTTGGACACGCATGTACACATAGCCAGCATGAGTTTAAGCCACCGGGTCTGGGACTCGAACTGTGGTCGACCACATGGGAGTCCAGCGACATAGCACTACGCCAACTGCTGGTCCCTTAACCATTCCTGACGTTCTAACAGGCCGCACTCGGTGCACGCTATCTCATATATTAAAACCGGTCCTCACAAACTTGTTGGAAGACAGCTGCCCCGGAACACCGAGGGCTGAGGGAGAGCGGGTACTGAAGGACGCCCCTGCAGCGACGGTTCGTGTGCTCCGGAGCCTGCCTGACCATGGAAGTACGGCGTCCTCACAGCAGAGGGGAGGGCTCAGAGGATCTAGGGGCTGGCTGATGGCAGTGGAGACGCTGGTGATGGGGCCAGGTGCAGGAGGCTGGGCGGGGGGTCCCTTGGGTTATACAAGGTGCGGGCAGAGAGCGGCCAGGCTTTATTGCTGGGAGAACTCGGGGCTCCATACGAGTGTCCTGGGGGCCGAGGGGCTAGTGAGAGGATATGCCCTTCCGTCAACTGACTGGCTAGGGACTGTTACCAGGCCTGATCGGTGCTTCCATAAGGTGAGCCAGTTCCCTGGAGTAAAGCCTCAGGTCGTGCCAATGAGACTGCAAGACCCAGGATGGTCCCTACACTGGTGTCTGTGGGCTCAGGCCTCTCCCCTCCTTCTAGAACACCCCTGCTGGCTGCAGCCTTCCCTGACCAGAGAAGCTGCAGAGTCCTCCCAGCCCCCACAGCTCATGGTCCCTGGGGCATGTCCTGTCCCCCAGTGCTCAGCCACACCCTGCCCTTGTCCCCTGGCAAGCAGACGGGTAGGTGGTCAGGTGTGTAGGACCAAGAGTCTGGGACTGGGAGCCAGATGTTTCTTTTTTCCCTTTGAGGTTTTGCCATAGGGCGAGTGTGCTCACCAGAGAGACACAGACAGAGGGAAAGTGAGAAATCACCCCTGGAGGGGATGGCCATGCCACAATCCCTTCTCCTCCACTCCCCCTTTGAGATTTTAGGCACACATACACGTGCCCAGTGTGATTTTCAAGCCACCGGGTCTGGGACTTGAACCATGTCACCGTGTGGGAGTCCAGCACCCTAACCACCATGCACCCGTTGGTCCCAGAAGTCAGGTTTTAAAAGGCAGCATGGCCAGTGGCGGCACGGACAGCGTTACAAGCTCAGCTGTGGCCCCGGCACACCTGCATGTGGAGGCCTTGACCCCCAGCACTGTGGGCCGGGGCTATATCTGGAGACAAGGACTTCACGGTGGCCCTTCAGTTAAAACGAGGTTGTTAGGGTGGGCCCAATCCCCTGTGACATGCCCTTAGGAGACTGAGACAGATGCCAGGCGCACGGGACAACTCAGTGAAGCGGCGGCATGACAGAGCCATCTACAGGCAAGGACGGGCCTCTGAAGAAACCGGCCCTGTGGCACCTGGAGTTGGACTTCCAGCCTCCAGAGCTGGGACACGATGACCCGGGGTGCAGCCCGGCCTGGGCGTTTATAACAGTGCCTGAGCAGAGGGAGACAGGTGCTGAGGCCAAGGAAGACAGGCCTCTGGGATGTCGGACCCGGGCCCTGAGACCACTGGCCCTCCCCAGCCATTCTCCAGTAAGGCTGGCCACTGACTGCCCCGAGTGCTGGTACTCTCAGACCACCCCTCCCGAGCACTGCTCCGAGACACCTCCCCGCAGGCAGAGATAGCCAATCCCGCTTCCAACGTCTCGCTTTCTCAGTCCTTTGATAAGAAAACTCAGGGCCAGGCCTGTAACAAGCACTCAGGAAACAGAGGTGACGTCTACTCACTGTTCGGCCATGGTCGGGTCAAGAGAATCGGTTTCGGTGGGTGTCTCCGGCCAGGAGGAGCCAGACTCCTGTATCTGACACAGCTCCTCATCTGTGATGATGTCAAACACGGCGTCGTCTGGTGGTCTGCAGTCTGCGTTTGCCCCTGGGTGGCAGAGGCAGAACAGGAGAGAAGAAACACACACACGGTTATGCACAGGAGGGGCAGGGCCATGGGGGCAGGGGGGCAGTGACGCAGAGTGAGACACAGGGATGCACTTTAAAGGGCCGCTCAACCGCAGCTCTTCTGTCCCAATGCAAGAGGAGGGGCAGCTGAGTCACCCCAGAAAGCAGAAGAGGGGCTGCAGGTGAAGCTGAACGCACAGCCCAACGCACTTCTTGGGTTGTGGCACTTCCTGGGTTCCAAAGTCCACTGCCCAGAGGACAGCCCAGCTGGCCTGCTGGAGTGTGCTTGGGGCAGAAGCAGCAGGAACCAAATCCCACATCCTCTTACTAGGCTGGGCAGGAGGACATGCAGAAGAATGCACTCTCTGAGGTCATTAAGAGTTGAGCTTCTAGGACAGTAGAGGATGTGAACGGGTGTCCACACAACTCCTGGCCTTGGGCTACACGGGGAGGGAGGGTGGCTACCTGGTGGCTCCACCCATGGCTGAGGCCCCACCCATGGCTGAGGCCCCACCCATGGCTGAGGCTCCACCCAGGGCTGAGGCTCCACCCAGGCCTGAGGCCCTACCCAGGGCTGGGGCTCCACCCAGGGCTGTGGCCCCACCCATGGCTGAGGCTCCACCCATGGCTGACGCCACACGCATGGCCGA